GTATAAGCTTCAGGACAGCTTCCCTGGCTCCTAGCCTCAGGCTCCCACAAGGGTGGAAAGAGAAATCACATTAGACATAGGGGGCAGGCGTTCTGGAGCTGTCTATTATTGGGGAATGCTGTGTTTTAGAACATTCTATCCGAAAAAGGGCAAAGGGTAACATTACAAAGGAACTGGTGAGTGTAACTCAACCCCACAGGGTAACAACTACTCATGGAGCCATTTCTCATTATCCGAGCAGAGGTAAAGCCCAAGTTATTGTGGGGCACAATAATTGTTCAGTATCTCTTGCTCAGGACTTAAGGGCGAGTATTTCCAGAGTGACTCCCTCATCTGCCAGTGAAGGGATGGACTGGAACCTACCTTGAGACCTGGATCCAGCAAGGTGGGTCTGGGTTGGGCCTCAGCTCAGGCACGTGTCTGCTGGTATGCGGTTGCAGCCCTGAGCTCTGACGGGACTCTGAAAGTGGCTGGATAGACCAGGTTTACTCTGGGCCCTGGCTCATGTGCTGGTAGTGAGGTGGACTTGGGCCAGGGCTGAGTTTCTGCAGGAGTTCCACAGTAGCGCGATGGACCCAGGTCTACCATATGTCCTGAATCCGGCCCAGTTCAGCGAAGCATATTTAGGCTGGGCTTCAGCTCTGGCATGTTACTGCCAGTAGGCGGTGGTGCTCATTAGCTCTAGCAGGGCTCTGCCTGTGGCAGGATGGCCCTGGTCTACACTTGGCCTTGGCACCCATGAAGGCCAGTGAGGTAAATCTGGGCCAGGCCTGAGCTATGGTGTGGGTCTGTAGTTGGCCATAGGAGGTCCTGGGCTGGGCCTGAGCTCGCGGGTGTCTGCAGAGGCAGTCCTGAACTCTGGAAGATCTGACAGTGGCGGGATGGACCCTGGAATACCCTGGGTCCGAAACTCCTATATATGTCAGTGAGGCAGGTCTGGGCTGGAGCTCAGCTCTAGCCAGTGTCTGCCTGTGGCAGGATAGACCCCAGTTTACACTGGGCCCTGGCTCCCATGCAGGTAAGTTAGATGCATTTGGGCGAGGCCTCAACTTCAGCAGGTTTTAGCCAGTATAGGGATAGATAGACTTGGGCCTACCTTGGGCCCAAGTTGCTGTGCAGGTCAACAAGGTGGGTGTGGACCAGGCAAGAGCTCAGGAGGGAGTCTGCTGGTGGGTGGGGGCAGTGCTGAGCTCCAAAGGGGGTTTGCAAGTTTGGGGATAGACCAGGGCCTATTCTGGTTTCTGCCTCCCTCCTTGGTCAGAAAGGTGGATCTGCGCCGGGCCTGAACTCCGGGTGTGTCTGCCTCTGTGCAGAGGTGGTCTGTCTTGAGCTCCAGCAAGAATCTGTTAGTGGATAAATGGACTCCAGCCTTCCCTGGTCCCTGCCTCCCTCCTTGGTTGGCAAGGTGGATCTGGCCAGGCCTGAGTTCTGGTGTGTGTCTGCTGGTGGGCAGTGGTGGTCCTGAGCTCCAGTGGGGCTCTCCCTGTGGCACAATGTATCCTGTCCTATCCTGGTCCCTGCCTCCCTCCTTGGTCAATGAGGTGACTCTGGGTAGAGCCTGAAGTCGGGCGGGTATCTGCTTGTGGGTGCAGGTTCTCCTGAGCTCTGGTAGGGTCTGCCAGTGGCAGGATGGACCTGTGCCTACCCTGTGTCAAAGCTCCTATGGATGTCATCCAGGCAGGTCTGGTCCGGCCTCAGTTCTGGCTGGTGTCTGACAGTGGTGGGATGGACCCGGGCTTTCAGTGGGGCCTGGCTTCTTGTGCAAATTGGTGAAGCTGATCTGGGCTCATCTGAGCTCAGGTGGGGATCTGCTTATGGGAGGAGGCAGTTTTGGGCAGGCCTGAGCTTGGTCAGTTTCTGCCCCTGGGTGGAGGCAGTCTTGAGCTCCAGCAGTGTCTCCTGTTAGCTGGATATATCCGGGGCTTCCTCAGGTCCTGGCTCCTGCACTGGTAGGTGAGGTGGATCTGGGCCAGGCTTGGGCTTCGGTAGGTGAGTTCTGAGCAGTCCTGAGCTCCAGCGGGCCTGTGTCAGTGGTGTGATGGACTTGGGCCTACCTTGCCTTGTGCCCTGGCTTCCGCGCTGGTCAGTGAGGCGGATCTGGGCCAGGCTTGTGCTCCAGTGGGGGTTTGCCACTGGGTGAAGGAGCTCTTTGGCCGGGCCTGAGCTCCGGAGTGTTTTTGTTGGTGGCAGAATGGACTCGGGCCTATCCTGGGGACCTGGCTCCCATGCAGGTCAGGGAGGCAGATCTGAGACAAGCCTGAGCTCCGTGTGGGTCTGCAGCTTGCCATAGGAGATTCTGGGCAGGGCCAGAGCTTCAGCAGGTGTCTGCTTGTGGGTGGTGGCAGTCCTGAGCTCTGGCAGGGTCTGCCAGTGGTGAAATGGACCCGTGCCTACTCTGGATCTAAGCTCCTGTAGATGTCATCCAGGAGGGTCTGGTTCCTCCTCAGTTATGGCCAGTGTCTGACAGTGGTGGGAGGGACCTGGGTTTACAGTGTGATCTGGCTACAGGGCAGGTTGGTGAGGCTGATATGGCTTCCTCTGAGCTCAGGTAGGGATCTGCTTGTGGTCTGAGGCAGTCCTGGGCCAGCCCTGATCTCCAGCCAGTTTCTGCCCCTAGGAGGATTCAGTCCTGAGCTCCAACAGTGTCTGCCGTTGGCAGCATGTACCGGGGCTTCTCTGGGCCCTGGCTCTTGCAAGGTGCATCTGGCCCTGACCTGAGCTCAGATGTTTTTCTGCAGGTGGGTGGTGGCAGTCCCAAGCACAAGCAGGGCTTTTCCAGTGGCTCGATGGACCTGGGCCTACTTTATGCCTGGCTTCCGCACTGCTCAGTGAGGTGGATCTGGGCCAGACCTGAGCTCTAGTGGGGGTCTGCTGCTGGGCAGAGGCAGTCCTTGGCTGGGCCTGAGCTCCAGAGTGTTTTTACTGGTGGCGGAATGGACTTGGGCCTACCGTGGGCCTACCGTGGGACTGAGGTCCCACGCAGGTCAGCAAGACAGTTCTGGGTCATAACTGAGCTCTGTCTTGGAGTCTGCTGGTAGGCAGTGGTGGTCCTGAGTTCTAGGAGGGTTCTACCAGTGGTGTGATGGAAACAAGCCTGCCCTTGAACCAGGATGCCACGCTGGTGGGTAAGTTGAATCTGGGTCAGGCCTGAATCTGTCAGTTATCTACTGGTGGTGGGATCATCCTGGTTTAAGCTGTACTCTGGCTCCCACTCAGGTCAAGGAGGTGGATCTGTGCTGGGCCTCAGCTCCTGCGAGGTCTGTTAGGTGGGTGGAGGTGGTCCTGTGCTCCAGCAGGGTTCTGCCAGTGGCGTGATGACCTGGGCCTACCCTGGGCCCTGGATCCCTGTGCAGCTGGGCAAGGCAGATCTGGGATGGGCCTGAGCTCTGGTGGAGACGTGCCACTGGGCAGAGGCAAGTCCTTGGCCAGGCTTGGGCTCAGACGGATGTCTGCAGGTCGGGAGATGTATTCCGGCCTACCCTGTGTCTGAGCTCACACACAGGTCAGCAAGGCAGATCCGGGCCAGGCATGAGCTCAGGCAGGAGTCTGGTGGTGGGGGGAGGCAGTCTTGAGCTCCAGCAGGGCTTTGTTGGTGGCATGATGGAAACTGGCCTACCTTAGGCCCTGGCTCCCATGCTGTTCAGCAAGGTGGATCTGGGCCAGGCCTGAGTCTTGGCAGGGGGGTCTGCTGGTGGCAGGAAGGAATGGGTCTACCCTGATGGCAAGGTAGATTTGGGCCAGCCTTGAGATCAGGAGGGGTTCTCTTAGTGGGCGGAGGCAGTTCTGATCTTTCAACCAGCAGGGTTCTGCTGGTTGTGGGAAGGACCTGGGCCTATCCTGGGCCTGGGATGGGATCCTGTGTGGGTCGGCGAGTCATAACCTGCTGGTGCCTGAGCTCCTGCAGGTGTCTACCAGTGGGCAGAGGCTGTCCAGACCTCTGGCGATGTCTTCCAGTGTTGGGATGGACCCAGGGCTACCTTGGGTCTGAGCACCAGTGGATGTCACAAGGAGTGTCTGGGCTGGGCTTCAGTTCTGGCAGGTTTCTGCCAGTGGTGGGATTTACCCAGGGCTTGCCTGGGCCCTGGATCCCGTGCTGGTCAGTGAGGTGAATTTGGGCCTAGCTTGAGCTCTGAGGTGTGTCTTCCAGCGGGCCTGTGCCAGTGGCGCAATGGACCTGGGCCTACCTTGTGCCCTGGCTTCCACGCTGGTCAGTGAGGCGGATCTGGGCCAGGCCTGAGCTCTGGTGGGAGTTTGCTGCTGGGCAGAGGCGATCCTTCGCTGGTGCTGAGCTCCAGAGTGTTTTTGCTGGTGGCAGAAAGGACCCTGGGACCAAGTGCCATGCAAGTCAGCAAGGCAGGTGAGGGTCATGCCTGATCTCAGGCAGGAGTCTGCTGGTGGGTGGAGGTGGTCCTGAGCTCTGGTGGGGTTCTACTTGTGGCATGATGAACCCTGGCCCACCCTGGGACCTAGCTCCTGAGGTAGTCAGCGAGGTGGATATTGGCCAGGCCTGATCTCAGGCGGGCCTCTGCCAATGGCAGGATGGACCTGGGACTACTCTGGGCCCTGGCTCCTGCATGGGTCCAGGAGGCCTATATGTCACAGAATCTCTGACCATGATTTTTGCAGTCAGTGAAGCAGTCTCAGCTGAGACTACACAGAATTCTCTAAGGGGCACATTGCCGATAGAGATGGCTTAGACTTGCCCTCAGTTCATTTGTGGCTTCCAACATCTCATGTCTTTATCAGGATGTGGCAGAGAAGACTCCTGATGTCCCTGGTGGATCCAAAGTACTCTCAGCCAGAACCTATGCAGAGGAACCTAAGGTAGTTTTCAGGTTTAGCTTCTGCAGGTCTTCAGAGTCCATATGACTCATGCCCAGGCTGAGATGTCAGGGTCAACTGATCATGTCTTCTGGCTGTCCACTATTTTAGCTGTCTGGTTTTACCTCTCCACTTCATCAGAGCCACACTTATTAGGCATCTGGAATATTTCTTCCCCCTTACATTGGAGCCACCTTATTGCTGACACATGGTATACAACAGCACAGTTTTCGGACACAAGAACCAATTCCCCTAACCACCCACTTCCAGTGCTTCCTCTTGGCATGCTGTTGCCCAGAGTCAGACTGGGTGGGTACATCAGGCACCGTGGTCCTTGTAGTCAGGAAGTGGAGATGAAGGGCCGGAAGGCTGGCACTTCTCATAGCCTTTTTCCCTGCCTCTTTGGCCTCCTCAGGCAGCTGAGGCATGGGGAAGGTGGGAAGCACAGGCTCGCTAGGATTCCTTTTGGTGATGCCAGTGAAATGGGAAAGATCCGTGAGGCATGGGTGAGGCTTAACCCTTGGAGGCACAGGCTTCCCCTGGAACATGCAGCCTGGACCCTGGCTTTTCTGGTGCTTTAATATAAGGTATGTCGCCATGGCTGTATTGAATTTCCTAGTGGCCAGAGACACCCAGGTCTTATAAGGATCAAAACCCAGATCACAGAGAATGGTCATGATTTCTGGGTCTGGGGGTTCGGTGAGTGCCTCAGTAAAATGCTGGGGTACATACTGCTCACCCTGTGTCAGCCATGGGTGCTGAAGAATTTGCTTGCATGTGGGCCGCTTCCTGGGGTTCAGGGTCAGTATTTGATGGATAAGTTGACGCGCCTCCACTGGAACACGGTCAGGGATGTTGAATGTTCCTAACACGATCTGACTCAGTAAATCCTCAGTGGTGCGCCCCACAAAAGGGCGGGTCCCAGTCAACAAAAAATATAGCATAACGCCCAGGCTCCAGATGTCCACATGGGGGCCCTCATGTGCTTGCCTCAGGACCACTTCGGGGGCAAGATGTGAGAGAGTGCCCCAGACATGCCTGCGATTTGGGCCAGAGGTAAACCAGGTGCTGAGGCCAAAGTCAATAAGTTTTATGTTGCCTCTGGCATCTACCACGACATTCTCTGGCTTAAGGTCTCGGTGCACAATTCCCTTGTCATGGCAGTAGTCCACGGCACTCACCACCTGTTTGAAAAATCTGCGGGCCTTTTCCTCCTGCATGCCACCTGGTGGAATATGGTGAAGTAACTTCCCCCCATCTGCGTATTCCATTATTATGTAGATATTTCTCTGAGTTTCAATGATCTGAAACAATCGAATGATATTCGGATGATCTAGGCTCCTCATAATATTTGGTTCTGAGAGTACCGGCATATTCTTCTCATTTTTGCACACCACTTTGACTGCCACTTCTGCCCCAGTGAGGTGATGTCGAGCCAGTTTTATCAGGCTAAATCCGCCATGCCCAATGACCCCTAGAAATTCATAGTGATCCTTGACCACTTTCTTCGTGCAGGAGCTGAGCCTCTGAATGTTCTGACTCTGCATCCTCAGCAGAACTACCACTAAGGATGCTAGCCCAAAAAATAACAGAATAAAACAGTTTCAAAAGAGCCAACCACCAACCTCTAAACGCACTATCTGGGTATCCGACAGGTCACTTCCAAGAGATTCCTGTACTTGTGGACAAAAACTACCACAGTCACTTTCTCATATATCTTACTGTTTGAAACTTTCTCACAATGGCTCCTTGTGACATCAAAGCAAGCAATCACCCAGTCATACTTTGCCATAAGCCCTATGGTCCTCTCACTTTTGAGCCTCCAGAGCTCTTTCTGTTTTCAGATTAGGAATAAGGAAAATCTTCAGGGCTTTTTTCCCTTGCTTTAGTGGGTTATGAGACATTTACTTGTTTAGAAATTAAAATTTCTATGGAACTTCAACATACCATTTATTTTCAGTCTAAAATTCTGTAATAATTTTTTGCTTTGAAGACTACAATGTATCTACACTCAAGGTATTCAATTTTTTTTTCAAACCTGGAATAACTGGTGTCAAAAGGATGGTGCCACCTCACTCACATGGTGATACTAAAACAAAATTGTTCTCTTTCTTAAGATACCATAGAATATAATATAAACACTGGTGGGGATGAGAGTGAGAAAAGGTTGATCATAAATTCTCCATATAGTCCTATATAAAATGCATATGCATTACATTTTGATTCCAGTAACTGAGGGGGATGGGGTAGAGATGTAAAAGAACTGCATTTTCTGTTACTGAATATAGATTCACACCAGGGGTATTCTTCCATCTTAGGTTAAAGGGAATGCCCAGAGTAACTCCATGGTAATACCTGTAGGACAAACTTAAAATGAAAGGGAAATTCAAATATTTCGTGTAAAAATCAATTAGATTGGAGAGAAGATAATCATTCATGAACACAAGGCAAAGTGAATCAGGAGCTTTCCCTGACTTAGAAGAACACAAGTCCTACTGAATCAGCAGCCTTCCCTGCTTTCCTTACATGGACAAAAGTGCCCACTGGACCAACAGCTCACCCTGCTGTCCTTATAAGGTCACGAGTCACACCAAACCAGCAGCTTGCCCTGCTTTCTGTAAGGACGCAATTCACACTGTAACAAAAGCTTGTCCTACTCCTTATGGTCCCATTTAAGGTAATTATCTCATAATATTGCCATTTCTGAAAAAAAGGTCTTATTCCTGGGTTGGGATTAGAATCTAAACAAGTGCACTGAGAGATATAATTCAACTATAACACACTCTATTTCTGTTTTTCTGCCACGTTTTTTCCAAAGGTGTTGAAATTTATTTTATGCTGTTTCTACATCAATCCATATCATCATATGACCCCCCAGGTTTGTCAAGGAAGTGCATATCCTTAGTGAGTAGGGTTATGAAAATTCATGATGTCCACTGACCCAATAACCTTTCACTTGATTCACCTCTGAACTATTCCACTGGCTATCATCACCACACAAAGGACCAACCTGCCAATAGATTAACCCTTTTGTGGGGAGGCTATTGTACCAAAACCACAACAACACCATTTCTTTATTACATTGTTTATGTCTCAGGGTCTGTCATAATTAATATTCCATGTAAGACTTGATATTTAAAATTGTCTATTCTTTCCTTTATCAAAATTATTACAAATTTGTGAAGTTTATTAATCTTTTCAAAGAATCAGCTCTGTCTCACTGATTTCTTCCATTGTTTCTATTTTTAATATGATTAATCTCTGTTCTTTGATGTTTATTCTGATTGATTTTGGTTTATTTGCTACCCAGATAATCCCCCTACCACTACCCAATATTTCCCAGCTGTAAAAATGAAAATCTGTGCCTTTTTCTTATTTCTAATATGTTTTTAATGGTATCAATTTCCAAGTACTGCTTTAGATGTGGTCTAACAATTTTTAGATGTTGTTTTTCATTAGGTTCAGTGTCCATTTTATTTCCTTTTAAACTTCCTTGGCCCATAGATTCTTGAGATTTGTGCTTTTTTCCCAAGGTTTTGAAGACATTTTTTTTTATCTTGCTGTTTTCTAGTTTGAGTCCTTTGTGGTGAAAGATCACACCAAGTATGTTTTCAATTATTTAAATTTGGCAAATTTTCTTCATGGCACAGGATATGCTTTATACTCATTTATGTGCTTTGGGTAGAATACAAAAATTAGTATTCTGTTTTTGGATTAACAGTACTATAAATATCTCTTATGTCCATTCCTTTGAAGATCCCTGGCCTATATTAATTTATCTGTTTTGGAAATATTGAAAAAAGTTAGTTAGTATTTTGGTTTTTGGTTAAGTGTACTATAAATATCTCTTGTATCCTTTTCTTAAAAGGTGTTGAATTTCTTTGATATTTTCTGCCAAGTTGTACTATCAATTGTTGAAACACTGGTTCATTCTCAAAAGCTAATGCTTCAAACCTTCTTTGCTCTCACCTCACCCAACAAAAATAAAGAAGTAAATAAGTACATAAATAAACAAGTCACAACTATAAAAATGTTATCCATACTCAATAGGAGAATAAGAGTGGATCAGAATCAATCATGTGACATTAACCTTAATGTCCTAAACTCTTTGATGGAGCTCTTTTGATTGCCAGAATCGTGGAAGTATTTACATTAATTCCCTCCGAGTTACATGTTCTTTCTTTCTTCAGATGATTCATTAGGATGGATTTCAGCTTCTTGTTATAACTTTGGTACTCACCTGCTCCTCCATCTGACTTTAACCTTAGGGTCAGTTTTGTGTTTTTGTCAAATAAAGGTTGTCCAGATGTGGGGCTGGGTATGAGGCTCAAGTGATAGCAAAGATATTGTATCCACTGAAAACTAAAAAAAAAAAAAATTCTCTCTTTCTCTCTCTCTCTCTCTCTCTTTAAAAAAGAAGAAGAAGAAGAAGAAGAAGAAGAAGAAGAAGAAGAAGAAGAAGAAGAAGAAGAAGAAGAAGGTTGTCCAGATGTGTTTATAGTTTAGCAGTCACTGATAACTAGGTTTTCAATTCTTTTTATCATCTTCCACTATTTGTGTACTTCCATCAGTCTATAACTTGCCCCTCAGTGCTCTCACATTCTGTGAACACATCTCAGAATTCGTAATAGGAGGATTAACCATGGTCTCTAAGTCCCATCCATTTTTCTAATAGAATAGTTCTACATTTGTCTTTCAGATATGAGACATGAAGTAAAGCTTGGAAATAAAGTTTATTTTTACAAAAAGTATATTCACATTAAACAAAATTTAAGGACCATTGGTTTGAATTAATATATGCGTCTATTTTCCACCCTCAAATGGACTTTAAAGATAGCTTTTCCACATTTTCACATATATTCTATTTCCACTCTTAAAATTTGTGAACATTACTTCACTGATAACAGAGAAGTCAGGCACTAGAAATTAAGGTCTACAGAATATTTTATATAAAAACAACTTAATTTACAACGCTTTCAGCAGCTTATGGAATATTTTTGAAAAATAGGCCAAGTTTGATGAAACAATGTAAGTTTTAGCAAATATAAAATACATGATACATTGTATCATATCATAATGAAATGAAATTAGAAATCAATAAGAAAAATAGAAACCACATAAAACATGGAGATTGAAAATACTATTAAAAAATGGGCCATAAAGGAAATAAGAAATTCTTCAAAACACATGATAATAAAAATACAACATATCAAAATTCCTGGGACACTATGTAAGCAGTTTGAAGAGAAAAAAAATGTAGTCTTTTATACTAATTCAATATTTTTTTTCATTTCAAGTTTAAATATTTTTAATACCTTTGGCCTTTGGAAGACCTCATCATATCCACATTCAAGCAATTCAGTTATATTTTCTTCCAAATAATTGGTGTGAATGTATGGTAGAACCTCACTCACATCATGATACTATAACCAAATGCTCTGTTCTCTAAGATACTAGAATGCAGCCTAATGCCTATGGTGTTGAAAGGGAGTAAAGGCTCATCATAATTTCTCCATAGGGTCCTCATCAGATTTCTCATTGTAAGTTCTGGAATGCCACATTTTCTTTATCCATTCATCTGCTGAAGGGCACTGAGTTTGTTTCATAACTTTGCTATTGTGAATTGAGCTGCTATAAACATTGATGTGGCTACATCACTGTAGTATGCATCTTTTAAATCATTTGGGTATATACCAAGGAGGAAAATAATTTGGACAAATACTGGCTCCATTTCAAGTTTTCTGAGAAATCTTCCTATTGCTTTTTGCAATCCCACCAGCCATGTATGGGTGTAACGTTCCCCCCACATCCTAGCCAACATTTATTGTTGCTCATATTCTTGATAATTGCCATTGTGCTTGGAGTGAGATGGAATCTCAGGGTAGTTTTGATTTGTGTTTCTCTAATTGCTAGAGATGTTGACATTTTTTGCATTTTTTTCATATATTTGTTGATTGTTCATATTTGTTCTGCTGTGAAGTGTCTGTTCATCTCCTCTGCCCATTTTTGTTTGTGTTATTCTTTTGGTGTTAAGTTTTTAGACATCTTTGTATAACCTGGAGATTAATGCTCCATCTGAGGTGCAGGTGGCAATGATTTTCTTTCCATTCTTCCCCTTGCTGTGAAGAAACTTTTTAGTTGAATACCATCCATTCATTGATTCTTTATTTTACTTATTGCACTTGAGAGGTCTTTTGAGGAAGTTTCTTCCTAAGCCAACATGATGGAGAGTCAGTCCTACATTTTCTTCAAGTAAACCCAGCGTTTTGGTCTAATGCCTAGGTCCATGATCTACTTTGAGTTTTGTGCAGGATGACAGATTGGGGTCACATTTTATACATTTTATTTTGCCACATATGGATTTTTACTTTTCCTAGCATCATTTGTTGACGTGGCTATCTTTGCTACAAACGTGTTTTTATGGCATCTTTTTCTAGTATTAGATAACTGTATTTATGTGGGTTTGTCTCTTTCTCTTCTGTTCTGTTGTATTTGTCTTCATATTTATTTTGGTGACAATAACATTCTGTTTTTGTTACTATACCTT